CTCTTCGCCCAGGGGATTCATTTTCATTTCAGTAATACAGGGAACCAACCCCTGGTTACATTTCTTTTCCGCAATACAAGGTGTCATCCCCTAGTTATATTTCCTTTCAATAATACAGGACGCCATCCCATGACTACATTCTTTTCAGTAATACAAGGTACCAACCCCTAATTATATTCTTTTTTCGTAATACAGGGTATCAACCTCTGGTTACATTTCCTTACCAGTATCAGGGTACACCAATCCCTAGTCGTTTTTCTAATATAGGGTCTCCACTCCCTAGTTTCTTTCATTTTAGACATAGGGTCTCCATTCCTTAGTCTCCGTTGTTTTTTCGGGGTACAAACTAGGGCAGAAAATTTTCGTTCGTTTGTTTGTTTTGGTGTTTGAGTAGGTTTTACCTCGAGACACAAGGTTCGAGATGACCAAAAGAAGAAGTCTCAATTCAGAATAAAATAAAAGAAAAAATAGGTGAATCCAAAATGCAAAAGTAATTGAAAAGGTGTGAAATGCTCAAGACATGACTGAAGCCACGAGCATTGGAGTCCCGTTTTGATTAGAAGAAGCTATAGAACAATGAACTAGCACCTACAGCTAGCGAGCATCAAGGTTTAGATCAGAGTCTGCATGAAGAACCAGTCAAAACTCAAGATCAAGTTTTAGAAGACTCATAGATAGGAATCTTGTAACTCATAGCTGATAGGCTTGTTTAATTTCATTTTAATAATAGCAGGACCGCGAACCGGAGCCTCGACGGAACCTTACTCGACTCCTCAAATCATCATTCCACCATTCTCCTTGAACTACACGTGACCTAGTTCCCCTATAACCCGAGATATGTAGGTTGTCCAAAACCAAGACTCGGTTGCACCCTATCTTTTATTTCTTTTCCTTTTGAATAACGGTTTGGTCAAACATTAGTCACATGGCTCACCTAGTCTTTGCCTGAAAACTCTTCATGTTTTCAAGCAAAGAGGGGCAATTGTGAGCACCTAATTCTTTACTATATTTGAATTTTTATCACCTTCTACTATGTAAATATTTTTAAAATTTTAATATATATTTTTTTAGCTTTGTTACATTTTTTATATATATAGGGTAAGAATTAAAAATAATTTAAAAGGTCAAATTATTACTATTAGTATTATTTTTATTTTTTATATTTATTTTAAAATAAAATAAATTAAAACAAAAACCGAAAAAATTAAATATTTTTTTTAATTTTTGGATGGTAATAAAATAATAGGAAAATTAAAAGTATGAAATAAAAAAATAAAAGTAAAAGTAGGTAGAAATTGTTTAATAAAAAAGTAAAAAAAAAAAGTGGAAAATTTAAAAAATAAAATTAAAAGAATGTGTTAATTTTAAAAATGAAAAGAAAAAAAAAGTTGAAATTAAAAAAGAAAAGTAAAAGAAAGTGGAAAAAAAAATAATAAAAATAAGTGAAAATTAAAAAAAAAAAGTAAAATAAGTGGAAATAAAAAAATAAAAAAAAAGTAAAATAAGTGGGGAAAAAAAAGTGAGAAATTAAAAAATAAAAGTAAAGGAAAGTGTGGAATTTATTTGTATAAAGAAAGAAGAAAAATGGGAAGTGAGAATTATTTTTAATTAAAAAATAATTTTAAAAAATCTGAATTTTTTTCTATAAATAGAAGAGAAATGTGAGGAGAAAGGGAAGAAAGAGAAGAAAAAAGAAGAGAGGAAGAAATTGAGAGAAATTATTTTTTCTTCTTCTACGCTAAGGAAATTTCTACTTGTGTCATTCTTTCTTCGTCTTTCTTTCAAAAAATCCAGCAATTCATCACCCAAAATCCAACAAAAAATACTTCAAAATATTCCTTTTCACACGTCAAACAGTGGAGTCAATAGTCGAGGTCGAGAATTCTGTTGGAGCTCCATTCACTAACTTTGATATTCTTCTTCGCTTATGCTTGTTCGGCGTTCGTTTGAGTTATTGTACCTGTTCTTGAAGACTCATTTAATTGAAAATTTTGCATTAAAGGTTTAGTCTTTCCTCTGTTCTTTTTATCTTATTTCATGTGATTTTATTTATTTGCCTTTAAATTTTATAAATAATAATGTAAATTAGTCTTTAAAAGTTATATGCTTAATTATGTTTCTGGAAATATGGTATTCAAACTTGCTTTAAAGTTGAGAAGATTTGGACCCTAATAAGTTTGGGCTTCAACTGTTGGGCTATAAGGTATTGGTATATGATGGTTTATTTACTCAAATATCTAAAATCATACACTTCTTCCACAAGTAATTCCATAATTCATGACCTCACAATAATCTCAAAGTTTAGGAAGAATAATGAACATCGTTAGAGTGCATTATGCGCGCTTTTAATTAGTTTATCGCGATTATATATACGTTCGCGTGGCATAATTGTGATTTTCAAAGTTAAAACTGAAGTATGCGTTCGCGCAACTTTAGTCAAAACAATCTTAGTATAATAAAATGCTATTAATTGTGTACACTTACGTGTGACATAATTTTGGCACAATAAACAAAACGGATTCACACACGTGATTCGTTTCAAAGATAATTCCATATTTTAATAACTAAAAGCGGATAGATAAAGCATGAAAACTAATAAATCACAGTTTGTCCAAAATTAATTCAAGCCAAATGTAGTCAATAAAGCGACCGTGCTAGAACCACATGACTCGGGGAATGCCTTACACCTTCTCCTCGGTCAACAAAATTTCTTACCCGAATTTTATTTTCGCAGACCAATAATAATATAGTCAAACCTTCATTTGACTAGGGATTTAAATAAAATATGACTTGGAATACCCAAAAAATCAATTTCAAGTGGCGACTCTGTAAATAAAATAATCTCTACTCAAATTTGTCACTTTAATTGGAAAAATTCTTTAACCCATAATAATCCATAATACATATCTTTTTGGGGGTATAAAAGGGGTGTGACACACCTAACTACCACTTCTGTAAATTAGTTATAACTAACTAACAGACACACATGCTTCTCACGTGCTTCTTCCTTCAATAGCTTTCTTAGATATACTTTGTGAGTAGCAATAATTAGTGTTTGACCAAACTTTTAAAAATTACTTCTAAATATATTTTTCTCAACATTATTTTTCAAAAAAGTGATTTTGGTGAGAAACTACTTTTTCCGCTTCTCCAAAATTGCTTCTACTCAAAATCACCTTTTTTTATTTTAAAAATTTGGCCAAACACTTCAACTTTCAAAAAAAAATATTTTTAGCCATGAAAAAACTTGGCCAAAAGAGGCTATTACATCATTTTCTTTTCCCTTTTTGGTAATGTCCCATGTGTTTACCCATTAATTTCATCATTTCACTCTCCAGTGTTTTCTACCGTGTCTATCCCCAAAAGTTTTAACTAAAATTTTATGGGAATATCCTCTTTTGTGAGGTAGATAAATGTTGGACTAGTGAAGATTACATCTTATACGTGCATGCTTTGCACAGAAAATTGACCTATAGAGAAATCATAGCCTTAATTTGTAGGAAGTAAAATTTGTAAATGTGCGAACTGTGACGTTAAGGAGTGGGTTCAGCATCTCAGTCCATGGCTCTGCGTAATCTCTGTTGACTTTTTTAAATGGATAATGAATATCTTTGGTCTCATCCTTAAGCCACCATGAATTCATAATTTAAATTTTATGAATTTAGGGCCCGTTTGTCCATAAAAAAAATTCTTTTTTTTAATTTAATTTAATTTTTTTCGAAATAAGTGTTTGGTCATAAAATTTTCGATTTTCACTTGAACATGAATTTTGAAATTTTTTAAAAATTTGAAAAACTCCAAAAACTATTTTTCAAAATAAATTCACTTCAGATCACTCACAAACATTCAAAACAACTCATAATCATATTCATGTCCAAACACAACTCTAATTTTCAAATACCATTTCACTTGGAAAAAAAATTCACTTTTTTCCAAAATTTTACAATTCTTATGTCCAAATGCCCACTTAATTTTTAAAATTTTGAGTATTGAACCGATTATATTTTTACTTATGGGTTCATATCTACTATTTTTATAATTTATTAGATTTTTACGCGTAAATTTATATTTGGAATCGAAAGTTACGAGTTCAAACTCGTCAGTGTAATAGTACATCCGCCCGTGTCCACTATGTCATACCTTTAGTGGAATAAAAAAAACTATGGCATATTTTTCAAAGTTTGTAACTTCCAAGTAATGTTTTCCTTTCAACTTCCTCGCGGGAGACGTTGTGGGAAAGTAATCGAATAAGGCAAAGAAACGGAAATTACAGTTCCTCATGATAAGGGACACTTTGTATCTTAAAAGAGTCCAATTTAATTTCCTATATGCTATTCCCTGTAACTTACTCCAGCATTATCTTGTCAGCAATAGTAATAATAAATCTTATGGCAATTGTTCTGCGATAGGGTTCCTGAAGCCGATTTTGCATCAACGGTTTTTAATATTAGTAGTAAAAAAGTACAATAATAATAACTGTGCTTCAGTCCCAAACAAGTTGAAATGGGCGATATGAATCCTATTTCTTTCATTAAGATCAACTTAAATTATCATCATTACCAAAATATATATATGTGTGTGTGTGTGTATTATAGTAACAATAATATTAGTAGTTCTCTACCAAGTCTAAAATATATTTTCAACTAGTGGGTATCACCTATATGGATCTTCCTCTTCTATTGTGATCTATTTTTAATAAAGTATGCATTTGTTTCAAGATTATCAGCAAAAAATAACACCATAAATAATTCATCGGACTGGTCCGTACCTGTAAATTAACTATATGTGTATTTTACTATTGTTGTAACTTGTTACATGCCTCATTTTCATGTTACTAATTCCATATATCTTTTTAGTGGCCTTATAGAGTAGAATTGTTTTTTATGTACATGCATATAATAATTAATCTCAACTTTAATTTGTAGAACTATTTTAAGTCATTATCCCCTCAACGCACACGAATTATTCTCACATGGCATAATTCTCTAACTTCCCAACATTACTTAATGGGCGTGTCCCAATTTTGCGCTTCTTTTCAACTGTCAAAACATTCGTATTTCATTACTAGCTCATAGCCCTATAAATACCACCAAAACATGATCAAACTCTTAACAACGACTGAAAATATAAATAATTACAAACCTTATAATAATGGCTCGTAGTTCTGCAATTTTGGCTGTTACAATAATCTTTTGCATTTTGGCTGGTCCTGTTGCCAGCTTCACAGCTTCTGATTACAAAGATGCAATTAGCAAAGCTATCTTATTTTTCGAAGGACAACGTTCAGGAAAATTGCCAGTTTCTCAAAGAGCCAAATGGAGAGGAGATTCTGCACTCACCGACGGCAAGATTGAACATGTATGAGTTTCATATAGCCCTAATTAACTATAGTTCTTTTATTTTTTAATTTTTTGTTGGAAAGATATTAATTTACCTAGTCTAAAAAAGATTAACATTTTTTTTACTATTGAAGAGTCAAATAATTTTTATTAACTACGAGAATTCCATTTTAAGAATATTCTCAACAATGAGATCATGAGTTTATATTGTTTTTATATGATATTTCTAAATATGTATATTTTATTTCAAAGACCGATATATTAATTTATATTAAAAATTAGATCCATTAACTTTTATACTTCGAGTCACTAGTTTTTTTTTTCGGACATAAAGTAGTAAAATTTTCATGAAACTTCAATAGAAAAAGACGAGGTGCCTATATTGGTAAGAGATAGCATGTACCCAATAAATTTTGTTGAGTTACGCACAAGTTGGTCCAAATACTATCGTTACAAAAAAAAATTAGTTTGAAGATTTTCATTAAGAAACAACTTTGTTAGTAACATATACCATCGGTTTGTATGAAAATTTCGTCATTTTATAGTTACTCTCTCTTCGTTCAATAAAAAGAATTTATTTCAATCTGTTAATTAATATATCCATTAATCTATCTATTAGGTGAATTTGATTGGAGGCTACTATGATGCTGGCGACAATGTGAAATTTGGATGGCCTATGGCATTTTCTTTAACATTATTGAGTTGGGCTGCGGTTGAGCATCCAACAGAAATCTCTTCAGCAAATCAACTTCTCCACCTCCAACGTGCAATTCGGTGGGGCACAAATTTCCTAATCCGAGCTCATACTTCAAGTACCACTCTTTATACTCAGGTGAAAACAGACCCTATCGTATGCTTCTTTTTTTTTTTTTTTTAACTAACCATTAGTATCCGGAATCCACTTACTTGACTATTTTATATTCGCATTTTGCAAATGTCTAATAAAACAGAAATGCTCCCCATTTTTTCCATTGGCATGGCTAGAACCTAACATTTTTAATTAGTTAAGGATAGAGGTGTTGCGAAAGTCAAATGTATATAGTGTGAATGAGTCACAATTACTATACCAAAAATTATGACAACCACTAAATAATAAACAAGACAATAAGACAACAATAAAAAAAATACCAGAATTTACGTGGTTCGGCCAATTTTGCCTACTTCCTCGGACACAATCAATATTTTATTCCACTCTAAAATTACAAGTGAAATAATACTAAAGAGAGAAGATACAAATGCCTTAAGAAGATAAAAGGGCAAATGAGAGGTGTGTTTAAATCCTAAACATTAGGCCTCCTTTTATAGGGTGAAATTCCCATTCAAAATTGTCATCCACCGATGTGGGACTTTTGACAATTTCTATAAATCTCTACCTTGGCAAAATTCCACATCTTCAATTTTCTCTCAATAACAAATTTTGGTTGTG